TATTGGAATTATAGAAGAAGTTTATAAAGGTAGGGATGGGTATGTGCATTCATGTTTGATTCGTACTTCTCAAGGACTTTATAGAAGACCTGTCCAATTGATCTATCCTTTTGAAGTTTAAAGTTATACATGTTTTTGTCATGTATTGTATTAATTTGCAATGTAGTTTTCAGTATTGATTTGTGATTATATCTACATATATTATTGATATGTAAATTTAATGTGCTCTTAACAAGAGCACAGGTGGGGTGTGTTGAACTTTTCATAGTATAGAGGGCGCTGTTGTGCGCCAAAGAATTCTGTTGTTTTTTTATTATGTAACTGTGGTTCGCCATTGCGATGTATGTTTGTATTGCTGTGATATATTTTGGTGCTTTCATTAAATATAAATGAAAGATATCGTCATGAATTTTTGTATACCAAATCAAGATCAAAATTAGACTGATGCAAACTCATCGAAACAAAAATAGCGTTCGAACAAGAATCATCAAGTGTTATTACTCGCTTTTCGAATTTCGCATTCGTATTGTTAATCGCTTCGTAATATGTTTAAAATAACAGTGTCTTATCTGAGTATCACTGCTTACTTTATAACAGTGGTCTCAAACTATATACAAGGCAAATGCAAAATCTGAGAACAACTGAAGACCAAAATCGTTTTTTTCAATACAGTGAACATTTTATTAACAAAATAAAAACCTTTTAAAATACATTTTAAATTTAACCTACTAAATATTTAACAAAATTTATGTAAACAATTATGATAATATCACAGAGGAAAAAATACAGATTTATACTTTTTTTCTATCTGAAATCTAAAGACAAGACCTTTTCTGTTGGTTACACTTGGCAATTCATATATTTATTAAATTCTTAAAAGACATTTCCAAATAATCTCTACTTATAAAAAAAGAGTCTGTCTGTGTGTGTGTGTTTTTCCTTTGCGCGCGTAAGCTAATAGACACACGGCTACAAAATTTGCTACATAGGTGTATCTAGACAAGGGCCAGTGCACCTCGAAGCGATTGTTTCGAAATTCTAATTCGAATTTTTTTTTAATTTTATGTTTTGTGACGAAATCGCGTCGTTTTGAGACATAATGGCCTATAGGAAAGCGAGATTTTACTCTACACACTCCATTTTCAAATCGTCATGAAACGTAAGCACTTAGATATTTTACGATTTTAAAATATATTTCTGTTTTCAATAAATCGATTAAATACGATTTTATTTAACAAATGGAGCTTAACACATTTTCAAAGGGATATTTTCTAAAAAAGTTTATTTTTAAAAATGTACAGTTTATTTTTCTTTGATTTTTGGACACGTTAAACTTTCATCCTTGCGACTGCTTTTACAAAAGTAATTTTGGAAAACTGATAATATTTTGTACTTTTAAAAAAAAAAAATGTTTAAATGAAGCTTCCGAGTACACTTCTCTCACATCTTTAAAAATGTGATTTTGGAAACAATTTTCCTGTCTTATTGTTGTTGATAGATTTTTGATGAAATCGCATCATTTTGAATAGTTTCATTCTTAGAAATATGGGTTTGGCAACAATTTTTCATCGTATTTCTTATGTCAACTGTTTTTAAGAGATTGGCATATTTCATTGTCATTTATATATATATATAATTTTTTTTTTTTTTTTTAAAGTTGTTCTGCAGAGTAAAAGTGCGGAATTTTGTTTTTGAGTGCTTTCATGTTATTTCTTGTTTGTAAGATAGTGAAAAGTTTTGCATGATTTTTTCCCTTCAACGGAAAGTTGGTTAATTTTTTATTAGGATAATTAATATTGTATTAAGGGATATAGCTTATTTCATTGTAATATTTTTTGTCTTGAAAATATAAGATAAAATATCAATAAATATACTTTTCAGAATTTTTTGCATTCTTTTATGTTATTTATTGCTCATTTCACTGTTTTTAAGATATTGAAAAGTTTTGAGTGATTTTTTTAGGAAACAAAGTTCTAAACCTCCTTTATACCATTTGAGTTCTTACGATTTTGCAAAGGGAAGTTGGTTAATTTATTTGTATTAAGGGATATTTCTTATTTCATTGTAATTTTGTTATACATAATAATTTTTTTATGAAGTTGTTCTGCAGAGTAAAATTCTACGTAGTTTTTAAATTTAACGTTTGGTGTTCCCTCAGCCATTTTCCCAGTACATTTAAAAGCCAGACGAAGGCTGGCACACATAAAAATATGTATGCAAATAATTATTAACTCCTTTATTTCTTAGTACAGCTTGATAACAGCATTACAATTTGATAAAATTTGTAGCCTTGGATAGAAATTATATTCATCATGGATTGTAGATGCTCATAAGTCACCTGGATTCTTATTAATTTTCAATTGTGAAAAAAATCTGTTCACATATATATTCCTAAACAAAGTGATTATCCTTAATGCAAAAATTCATAACTGAGATTTTTGTTGTTAATAAAATCTATATCTTTAAATAAAATTTACATCACATTGTAAATTAATTACCTCCATTTATATATTTTCTGGTCCATTATTCATGCTTGTTTTTAATGGAAACCAAAATGGACTTCCCTGTTTGATTTATCTTAATTTTAGTGTTTATTAGCAAAAGAAACTAAAAAAAAAGTGATTTTATTGAAAGTCTATTTTAATTGAAACCTCATAGGTGTAAACATTCTTTCTCGGAAACTGTATATCTTCTATGCATTTCGGATTCTAGCATCTGCAAACCTACAGTTCTTTGTGAAAATTATCTTCTTTGAGAGCACAGATTACTTTTAGAATGTAAATTTAACACTGCTTCAAAATGTGACAAATGCATGGTTTTGAAATTTTCAGATATCAGATTCACGTGCCTTACAATTTTCTTCTATACTAGCAATATGCTTCCATATGATTTTCTAGCCATCTGCAGCATAGTGATGTTCATGATCTCCCAGAACATTTCTATGGACATTTTGAACTATTTCAACTGCTTCAAATGTTCCTTTAATCTGAGGGATGATTAAGCAGCATTGAAAAGGCAATTAAAAACTAAACTATTTCTGCCTGTCAAACATTCAATAACATAAAAAAAAAAAAAAATATTTTCTTTGTTCAAAACTTATTTTAACACCATCTCCAGTATCTTAAACTAATTAAATTGGAAGTAAAGGAGAGTTAAGTGATTTCCCAGCTTTTAAAATATGTATTAAAATTTTTGGAACATTATACAATACATGATCAGCTAGATCAAGTTAAGGCACCTTATACATACACAAATTTCTTTGAATGCTGATTATTAATTTCCTTTCAGATATTTTATGCCCACGCATATTTACACGTTCACTCTAATTGGTGCTCTTGTGGCTTCATTGCAACATTAAATATGCCTACAGGAACAAATAATGTTTAAGATGCACTCATCCAAAATATGTATCATCAACTGATTCCCTTGTTAACCAGATGTCAATGTTAGCGAGAATTGCTTAGATGCCATTCAATATTCAGTTTAAAGCATAGATCAAGTCTCAGCAAATATTACTGCTTTGGGAACTTTCTTCAAGTGTCAAAATGTCTATTATTTAATATTACAATATAGAGAATCAGAGCCGTGTTATGTTTCTGCAAGTCTACTATCCAATGATGTACTTTCTGGATACCAGACACACATACCCGCTCATGACAATTTTATCATTTCACAGACAGGGATAGAATCTAATGTCTTCCAAAAATTAGCTTTATTATAGTGGAATAACATTATTCAAAAACAGAAATATAAATTGCCTTCTTTTCCCACAAAATACAATTTTGTATTTATACCTTTTTATCAAAGATATGATTCAATATTTTATTATTGCAGTAAAAGCTATATGATCCATATGCAGCAGACATCACTTAATATGGTCATGGTTAATGTTATCATTCAGATACTGTTATGGAATGTTAAGTCTTGCCTCTTTGTGTACAATACATGGAAAATACATTGTTTAATGTGATCAACAATTCGGCCACTGTAATCAAAATATTATAGAACAAATGTTTAAACTGATAGTAAAGTCACCAAATAAAGTCAAAATAATTATAAAATAGAGAAATGCCACCAAGTAAAGAATTAAATCACCAAACAGCTTGGTTTCGATTTCAGTCAACCATTTAAAATCAAGCAAAAAAGCAACCAAATTCAGTTTGATGTAGATTTAGAATAACTTCATCTATTTTGTGGGCAACAGGACTCTTCAGCAGCAGGCTTTTTTGAAAACATCTATGTAAAACTATGATTACTTTTTTGTCTAATTTAGAATTTTACACTGACATGTCCTCTTCTTGTGAGGGTTGTGCTCTCAATATTAAAGTATTACCCAGCCAAATAATTTCCAAAAAGATTATGAATAGTTCACAAATGAACTCTTACATTAAAGAACACCAGTTCATAAATAAACTCGTCTTTTCCTAATTAAAATGTTGTTAAGTAAAGATTTATATGTTTCTAGTCATATTTACATTAAATCAGTTTCACTCCTTTGCTATTTTGATGGATATTTTTTCTCATTGTTTAATGTTATCAAAATAGCCACGGATAAACATGATCACATTTAAGACAGCCTACAGCATTTACCTCTGCATGTTAATTTTTAATAATAAACTAAACTCAGCGGCACAACAGCCCTAGTGGGCCACGGCCTGCAGTGCCCCGAAATTTGCTTTCTTGACCTTGGCCCCGGGATGCACCAGCATATGCCCTGGGCAAGTGGTCAGCTTGTCACAGGACTCCTGGTGTTTAGTCCTCAGATGAACTTGGTGCTCATTTTAACAACCTGCTTAAGGAATGAAAGGCTGAGTCAACCTTGCTCAGCCCGAGGATTGAGCCACGAACCTCTTGTGTAGCTGCGCAATGCACAAGCCACTTAGCCACCGGGTGGTCGATTTTTAATAATAGGAAAAAAATAATAATCTGAAATACCACATTATGGGAAAAATAAAAGGAAAATGGGAAAAAAGCAACACTAAAAATTGCCTGAAAAATACCTTATCTGCATGTTTCATATCTTCAACTGCTTCCCAAAACCTTAAAAAAAAAAAATAGATAAAATAAAATTATAAAAGAAATGAGCATTTCTTCATATAAAAGTTTGCACATTTTAATGAACAAACTACATAAGAATATAATAATATTTTAATATGACTTGTAATATTAATAAACTTGATTCATAGAATAGATTCATAATTTTTTAAATTCAATGTAGATGCTATTTTTGTTTGGAAATCTATAGTTAACTAATATTGAAATTCAGTCAGTCAACTAACTGCTTTAAGTCTGACAGCAAAAATCAATTTATTACAGTGAAATTTGCTAAGCAGATCACAGAATTAATTTATTACAGTGAAATCTGCTAAGCAGATCACAGAATTAATTTACTAAACTAATTTCATACAATGGGGAGCAATTTTAAAATCCATAAAGAAGATTCCTTCTTTTAAAGAAATCTAACAGAAAATTTAGCTTAAAATGGATTATAAATAATTTCCAATAAGCCTGCTTTAATTGAAATTATGCATGGAATTTTTATAACCTTGATTACTTTGAAATGAGATTCTTCAATTCAAATTTGTTACCCTAAAAGAGAATGAACTTCTTCTTTCTGAAGAAATTTAGAAAAGTGACGTCTACAGAAACTGGACTGCATTATAACTGACATAGATAAGACTTTCTGACCAGGTATGTATGCATTTTCTTTAAAAGGTGAATCATTTCCCATCCTTGGAGAAGACAGATAATCAGGTCCACCAAGAGCTTTAAGACGTTTTTCACACTGTGTTTTCGCAAATCGCAACTATAAATAATGAAAAAAATTCATTTAAAAACGAAAATTCTATTAAACTTACATTTTAAAAACTTCCTTTAAAGATATTTGCAAGATCATGCTAACTTATTTCACATGATCTTAAAACTGAATTAACACATTTGGGGAATTGTAAACTATATAACAGAATGAAATAATTTCATTTTGTTCATCCTGCATTTTATCTTAAAGCAAGCACCAGTTGGGAAAAAAAAAAAAAAAAATTAATTATAAACAACAACTAATTATATGCTTATATCTAAATTCTTGTTACAAGGAGCAACAAAAGTACTGTAATCCTTTCAGAAGTTATTATACATAGCCAATATTTGCATGGTGAACAAGCAATACACATTACAAAAATATTCAGAATACAGAATTCATAAGAACAGGTCACAAATATGTTTAAATTTTAATTATTAAAATACACTGGGATCTACCTAAAATACATTGCAATAACGATTTCAGAAAAATCTCACCATATAAAAAAATCTGAGGTGGACACTGCATGACTTCCTTGCATGGCCCATTAAATTATACCCATTTTTTGCTGCATTTCATTTAAACTTATTTCCTCAAGTTTCAATTACAGATACATTTCTCATTCAATTAATTCAGTTTTCACTTTGAGGCAAGGTAAAAAAAAAGCACTTAAAACTCAAAACATCTTCCTTCAAAATTGTAAAATACAATAAATAAATAAAAATCTGAAAGGTTTCAGATCTTAAATTACATCCAAATGGACTTTTTATTTAACCTTTTGTGTGTTACCTTTATTTATTAAATATCATGTTCTACGTACTCAAACTATAAAAGTCAGTTTAACAGCAATATTGCAAATTAATTTTAAAATGAGTATATCTTGAGAATTTCCGATACCGAGTCTCGCGTGATGGAGATAAAAATGTTTTTTCATACAGTGTTGCCATTGCTCGCTTTGAAATCGTTTAGTTTTTTAATCAAAAATTTGTTGAAGTGTTACAAAATCTGAAATCAATAATAAAACAAATTTCAAAGTCATATTAGGGTTTCTACATGCCCATATTCTATAGAAGATTATGCTATTTAAATTTTGATGGCTCTAGGTACCGTTGTTTTATCACAATGTGAGAAACATACATATATTTACACAGATTCTTCATTATTTAATTTCTTTAAATATAAGACAAAGCGATAATATATGGTGTCAAATTTGAAAAGTGATATAGCCTTTTAAAGTTTTCAATGCAAAATGCCAAAACAAAATTAATAGTCCTACAGGGCAAATTGCCCCTTTGGGCTAATAAAACACCAAATACAGTTAAAACAGTTAAAAAAAAAACAATTTTTACAATTAATATAATTTAATAGGCTGCTTTGTGATATCTACATCAGCATTAATTTTTAGAATTAAAATTAGAGTTTTTATGCAAAAACAAGCAATTCGATCAGCGGACAAGATGGCAGATTTTTCGATGCACAAAACTAAAAGTTTATTATTGGTCTCGCTTAGCCTAAAGACACTGAAGGTGCAGAAACTGACTTAATTTACTATTCTACTACAAGTTTAAAATGTAAACAAATAGCAGTTTTGTTACACTTAGTAACACTTTAACAATTTTTTAAGGTTAATAATTCTACAACTCTTGCATGCAGATTAATTAAAGGCATAAAAACCTTAACCAGACTATAACAACAACATAATTCAATCAGTTTTAAAGCACAAAATGCACAAGTTACCAATATATACGAATAAAAGAACTGAACTCACCAAAACCGGTAACAGAGTTGATATAAAGTGTATATATATATATATATATTCATATACTTTTGGTATGGTCATTTGTAATAAAAAAGGGAGGTGCACAACTACATGCTACAGCAGTCCCATACACACAAGTTCAATGTTCTGAGGCTCTTCATTTTTGAATGCAAAATACATACATACGTACATACAGCCATCATGAAAAAAATCTGATGTGTACACCATGACTTCCTTGTATGGAATATTAAATTATATGCATTTTTCCTGCATTCCATTTAAACTTATTTCCTCAAATGTCATTAGAGATATACTTCTCACTCAATTAATTCAGTTCTGTGAGAATAATTCAGTTCTAAGTGAGAACTGAATTAATTGAGTGAGAAATATATCTTTAATGACATTTGAATATAGTCATTAATTACATAAAATATAGTCATTAAAAATTGAAAAATTAAAAAAAAAACAAATTAGAGTTAAAAAACAATTACAGTTAAAACAATTAAAAAAACAATTTTTACAGTTAAAAATACAGTTTATATGCAAAAACAAGCAATTCGGCCAGCAGGCAAATTTTTCGGTACACAAAATTAAAAATTCCCTTTTGGTCCCACTTGACAAAAAGGTGCAGAAAGACTTAAATCCCTATTCTGCTAAGTTTCAAATGTAAACAAATATGGCTGCTATGGTAAAAAAAAAAAAATTTAGGCTTAGTCGCACTTAAACACCTTTTAAATTGTTGATGATTCTACGACTATTGCATGCAGATAAACTAAAGGCATAAAAACCTTAACCAGAAGATCAGAATAATATAATTCAATCATTTTTAAAACAAATAATGCACAATTAACCAATATATAAGATAAAAGAGAAAAAATAAAACTGAGCTCATTGAGCAGAGTAACAGGGTCTATATATATATTTCTGATGCAGCTGATTCCAACCAAAATTGGAGGTGCAAAACTACATGTTATTGCAGTTCTATATACAAAATTTCAATGTTCTGAGGCTAATCGTTTTTGAGTTATACGAGATAAATACATACACAGTACAGATGCCATGAAAAAAATCTCTTCTGATTCCATTTTAAATGAGTTTTATAACTCATTTGGAGCAAAAGAGTCCTTTATTTTGTCCTTCTGTACAGATGTCACACAAAAAACATCGTTAAATTGCATTCGATTGCGGTCAAAATGGATATTTTTGTTGAAATATGAAGTTGCATTCAATAGCAGTCAAAATGGATATTTTTGTTGAAATATGATAGCCAGAATTTTTCATGATTACAATACTTCCTTTACTTCATACAAGGAAGTAAAAATCTCTTCTGAAATTCATTTTTCAATCTGTTTTGCGGAAAAAGTCCTTTATTCTGTCCATATGTACAGATGTCACACAAAAAACATCATTTAAATGGATTCATGAGCGAACGGTCAAAATGGACATTTTCATTGCTATATGGTACGCAAAATTTTTCACGATTACGATACATCCTTTTTTTTTTGTACAAGGAAGTAAAAAGAGATGACCTCTCATTACTTACGACCAATACGAAAATTCTGATGTCTCACCTACTTTTACCTGTACCTGTATCATTTGGTAGGTACAGAAGTTATCACGCATTTTGTATGGCCACTATATTTTCTGGGATTATAGCAGACAAAGATCTTCCTATGTATTCTTCATGCAGAAAAGAATTTTGGCCTCTACAAAATTCTGTAAACCACCTGAATACAGTTGCACAATGCAGCTTCATTTCCATATGCTAATTGCAGACATTGAAGGCATTCTTCTTGATTTAGCCTCATTTAACCACTTGCGCTACGACTAAACTTCCCGGTTGCGGTGCCGTGCGCTACAATATAACAGGCAGTAAAGTGTCTCATTTACGCCGCTCTGCGTCTGCGAGTGCAATCCAGAGCTGTAAGAGAAATAAACAATCTCGTTTGGCGACATGTGCACCACGTTATTTTTATTTTTTTGCGCAGTTTGAGACAAAAGCATCTTGACATGTGTGGCACGTCTTTTTAGTGGTTAAAAATCATAGAAAATTTTTAGAGCGATAATGCTCTCTCAGGTCAGGTCCATTTTCCTTCTTTCAAAATTTGTTTTATCACAGAAAAACTGCAAATGTTACCCCAAATTACCATCTACAGACAGAAAAGAGTTCCAATTTACTTAGCTAAAAACATTTTTTTTTTAGTGCATATTGCACAACCACCTCAAATTTCAGAGTTATTTACTTATTAATAACATAATTGCAAAGAATTTGGTTTCTCTATTACTTTACAGACTGTCTTGCATTTTACTAAAACTTGGAAATATTGACTACCTGCAACGGTCATACCCACCCAATCACTGAGCTGCCCAGTGGTTCAAGATATTAAAACTAATAAATACTAGTACAGTGCACAGTCCGAGACCTGGACGTTCCAATATCCGGAATGATCTAAAATCCAGACCTCAAAGCCTATGCTTTACACATGCGCATTGGATCACTGATGGATTAACCACTTTAGCATGCTGCAACAGTTATAGCAGAACCATCAAAGTGCAAAAGGTTAATTTATGAAGTACAAACATAATATTAAAGAAAACTAACAACATTAAATGTACCTGGTTTAAATACCTTGACAAGTTCCTAGATTGCAATAAATCTCCCTTACTTGTTTTCTGGGGATTAAATTCCTTATCTATATTAGAAATTTAACAAAATGTTAGAGGAAAACTATAAATATATAAAACACACATACAAACATAAATAAATTTTAAGTGATAAGAAAGGGAATAGCAAAAGCCAAAAAAAAAAAAAAAAAAAAAAAAAAAAAAAAAAAAACTAGTACAGCACATGAAAAAAAATGCATGATCTAATAAGCGACAGAAAATAAAAATACATGCAAAATTTTAAAATATAGCTTCTCTACTCCAATAAAGCAAAAACTGATGAAGATCAAGAAAATATATTATAAAAAAGCATCCACTTAAAATATATAAAGATATGCATTAAAAGCTAGGTGAAATCTGATAATATTTCTAAATGAGAACTAATTTCACCAATGACTACCTATCTTTTTTGCTTGGCAAAACATGAAAAAATTGTTTTTTAAAGAAATATAGTTGAACCCCATAATAATGAATGAACATTTAAAAATTCCATGATTCAATGAAGAAATTACAAATTCTTAAAAAAATCATCTACATTACTTAATATCATGCAATCAACATGTAACACCTAAATTTCGATTGCTTAAAGAAAACACCTTTACATTACTGCTCTTAAAAACAGCTCTATTCACGGCTAATGATACTGACAGAAATTTTTAAATTTTTGTTATTGCAGGTGAGAGGAAGTACTGAATCTTATGAGCATGGGGGTTCTACTATTAATTCACCTTTTAGAGAATGAAATTTTTTTAACTTTATCAGTTTGTTTTATTTGAATACGAATTTCTTAGGTTTTTTTTCCAAGATTTAGGATATACTTTATAAAGGCTAGTGAACCTTTGCTGACTTACATATATATCTTTGGTTCTTGCTGCACAAAGAAAGAGACACACTGGTTAATGTAAAGGAAATACTTTTCCAGGAGAGTAAAATTTTCACATACTGCGAGCTGTAAATGTAAAGCATTCCTGCCTTGAAGATAATGTGAACATGTTTTGATAAATGCAAAACACCAATTTGATATCTACTGGGAATACAGTGTATACAAATCTACAGATGATATCATATGAAAAAATCAGATTTAATTACTTCTGATGATGAAAAAAATTTGAATACAACGAAAATGCTGAGGATATTGAAAGAGATTACTGAAATGGCTGATAATTCAAAGTCATAATCTGCAAATATCTAGACAAATGTTTGTGACAAAAGTCAATGAACTTGTTAGATACTTTAGAGAGACAGTTTTTTTTTTGTTCTCAAATGGGTGGTTGGATAGTTTAAAGATGCAAAACAAAATTTCTTCAATAAAAATTACTGCAGAATTATGCAGCATTTCAAAATTAAATATAAAAAAAATTGTGGAAAAAAATTTGGGGATCCCAGTATAAAGAAAAGAGTTATAGCTCAGATCAAACAAATTTATGAGTGTTAGAGAAAAAACTTAAACAGGATGTTGGGGTATTTAATTTTTGAATTTAATAGTTAAAAATATTTTGTTTCCCTGCATACCACTTATTTTTCTGTTGCAAACCATCGGTTGAGAATCGCTCATTCTCTCTCCCTTAAGGCAGAAGTTGGCAAACGTTTTTTAGAAAAGGCCACATTGTAAAACTTTTAGACTTGGCTGGCATCTAGGTATGAAATGAGTAATATTGAAGTTTTTTTTATAAGTTTCTTTATATTCTTGGCAGTATAAAGACATTTTTATTGCTGATTAAATTGAATCGTTCTACAGCATAATGCTGACTCCCCCAAAATCTTTAAAAAAAAATTTAACCCCATCTTGGTCGGTATCACATGTCACACATTCAGCTCTTTTGTATCTGTACTGTTGCTACTTATATGTCTCGTTATATTCCACGATTACTTTTTGTATTTCTGAATATTGCTAAGAGTTCGTGTAACTAGTTCTACTTTATTCTCATTTTTTTACAGTGAGATTTCCTACCTTGAATGGAGAACATTACCATTTCGTGTTTTCTGTAATTTTGCGTTCTTTAGTTATTGCTACATGTCAAAATAGCTTTTATGATGGGTTCAGAGTGTGAGTCCAAGGGTTGTGATGTCAAGATTTCTTTCTTTCTTTCTTTTTTTTTTTTTTTTTTTTTTTTGACAAAGTAAGCGATAAATGGTTTCAGTGTGGTTTTTACAGTCAAGACGACTGTAAAAACCACACTTTTAACCACACTGACTTCAAGTTTGTAACACTGTTTTCACACAAAAATATTGTTCAAATGGTTTTGAGAACAATTGAAAAGGATATTTTCGTTGAAATATGATAACCAAAATGTTTTGAGATTAAATACTTCCTTAACCTTGTACAAGGAAGTAAAAATCAGACAGGATATAGTAAACAACCAGATATAGTGAACTAAACTTCCTGTTCCTTGAAATTCATTACAGCAGAGTTCTATTGTTCGCTTGCACACACGCACACATACTATATATAAAGACACAACCACATAGCAAAAGAGTAACATTCAATATAAAAATATTTCTTTTAGACAGAGCAAACAAACAAAAGCATTTAAAACCAGAAAGATATAATAAAATGTAATATTTGCTTACATGGTGTTAATTTTTTTCCCATTATTTTTTTGATAAACTTTGATCCTACTTTAAATATCTTGTTTGTAAGTTCTTCATATGACAAAGCCATATTCTGAACATTATCTCCACTCCATTATTCAATGCTATTTTTATATGCAACTTCTCATCACTAACAGCTTTAAAAGCATGTTTTGAAAAGAAAATTATCTCTATTCACTTTTTCTCATTATTACTCTTACATGGGTAAATAAGTTATTACTGCTCTACTTTTCAAAAAACTTGTTACATATTACATACACTTTTTTATTTGCATGTAACAGAAATTCTGCCTTATACAGGAAAAAAGTTAAGTACATCATTCTAATATTCGGTACAGACAGAAAGATACGAGACTGACTGTATGAGAAAATATTAAAAAACTACCCAAATCGTAAGAAAGAAAATGATAACATACTTTATGTGCTCATGATGGAAAAGTAACTCATTGATAAAAGTCCTATAATGAGCCAGAATTACTGAATTAGATATCAGAAGTAAAAAGTAATCAATATCATAATTTATGTGAATTTGTAAAAATTCATTAATTTACATTGTCAGAGTTTTATAAACATACAGTCAAAACCCCTTCAAGGATGAAAAGATTTGATAAATTCTTAGGAAACATCTGTAAACCCCTTAAAAAAAGTATGTGGCAGAAAATAAATCACTTTATCTACCGACTGTGAAATTTCTCTTCCCCCCCAAATAATAATTGCCGATTGTGCTACATGTTAATATATTTTCAAATTTTTTTAGTACACTTAATAATAGCAAAATATGCAATGAGAAATGTGGACATGTGCCTGATTATTACTTTTCAAACTTATTTTTCTTACATAGATATAAATTTGTTGTTACATATTTCTAAAACTGATACTGATCTTCTCGAACATCAGACTACCAGAAACTGTTTGCTAACTTGCAGTCTGACTTGTTTTTGATTACCTTTTTTGTTAGTGTAGGAGCTAAAAAACGTATTTGAATAAATTTTTAACGTTGCTGAAAATTTGCATTTTCATGTACTTTAAATGTATGAAACTAAAGATGTATTTTGAATATTATTCCATGCAACTTAGCAGGCATTTCTGTCATTTATTAAAATTATTTTATAAAAATGATAAAATGCCTTTTTTTGTTGATAATTTTTCTACAACAGCTTATTAAATTTAAAATAAAGCTTACAAAATAAAAAAATACCAAAAGCTCTAGAGCACTATGACTGATTACTTTTTGATTTATTTTCATGGCCATCATTTCCTTTATATCAAAGGTTAACTGATACACAAAATAACACACTTTTAACACCAAATAGCATATTTGATTATGTATTAAACTCAATAGTATTTATACATGGGTTTACATGATGATCAGTATCAAAATAAAAAATAAACTATTCATATTCTAGTGTTCAATTTATTTTTACAATAATGAGCCTTGCTGTATAATACAGCAAGCCTTTCTTTCTAAATTATATTATTAACCTAACTCTATGATTATCTCTAGTCATAAAGTAATGCTCCTTTGTTATTAAAGAAATTATCTCTTCAAGAAAAGAATGAACTAACCTGCATCCATTCCTTTAGATCGCTTCAAGTTGCTCATAGTAGTTGCTTGCATTATTTCAGTCACTATGTAATACCTAATAGCATTAAAAAATATATTACTAAAAATATTGCCACATAAACCACAAAATTTGGAATGATGTATAAAATAAGTAGAATATACAGTACAAAGTCTTTAATCCGGACCTCAAAGCTACAAACTTTCTGCGCATGCGCATTTATGCATGCACATAATACGTTTATGCATGCACGTTTAATGTATAACGGTCAGTATAAGCTAGGGTAAAATTATCTAATTATCTATTTCAGTTAATGTTGCAGATTGCGTTGTTCCTTAATCTCCTAATTGGATCCGGCTTATTATTTTTTGCAGACTGTTAGAGCAATTTTATAAAAAGTAAGCTTGAACTTTCGATTATGTCAAAAAGAGTTTCCGATTCTGGAGCTGCCAAAGGATCTACAAAACGAAAGCATGTTTCAATGTACCGCTTCCGACAGTGAAGAAAGTGACAGAGAGGTTATTGAAAACAAAAAAAATTTGATTGACAAGTTAGTCGGTATTTTCAAAACAGCAATTACAGGACTTAAACAATGGAACTGAACAAGAAATTATGTCTGTTTATAGAATTAAACAGAAAGTATTTGAACAAAAAACGAAGGAACTTAAACAACGTACATTAAAAGAAATGTTTAATAAAGTAAACAAATAAATATTAAGCCTTTTTTTTATATAAATTTTGATACCCTTTAGATCATAATTGCTCTTTATTTCATAAATTACGGTTTCATATTTTTAATTTTATAATTTCTGCATGCCATCTTACCAGATTTAAATTGATGATCTATAATCCGGAAAAACCACTAATCCGGAATCGCCGAAGTTCCGATGAGTCCGGATTAAAGACTTTGTACTGTATTACCTAGAATGGTACTTCCCTGTTATGCAACTGCCATGTTTTTTGGCCCTGTGAGAGTGAAGCCAAACACATGTCGAGACCCAACGATAATACCATCTGAGAACTATATGTATATGGGAATACGTGTGCAACAAGAATGATTAATCCATACATACACATTATTACAAAAGTGCCGCCAAAATACACAGCAAGTGCATAACAGAAAAGAACCCCCGACGCATTTGAGGTAAACAATGGAATGGAAATATTTCCTCCAATAAATTAAATTTAGAAATCAAAATATAAAGGTCAGGATAGCATCTTTATCTTTAAATGATATAATTATATACTACAATATAATCATGCTCCTCAAAATCACAATGAAAAGTAACAATATTTGACAAGAAAACACCTCAAATCCAGCTAAGCAAGTACTGATTGCATAAGCATGTGTATGGTACACCAAAACATAGCAAGTTAGCAGAGAAAAAGCAAGTGTCCACTCACCATGTAAATTTGTACTGTTTTTTATGGTAACGCTGTTAGCGATTGCCAAGAAGAATGCTTCAGAGACCCATCTAAATGCTGCAGGCAATTCATCAAATTCCAGAAAAGATGTATCACCGCCTTCCAGGAAGCAGGGTGCTTATATGCCCAGCTCTCAGGTTCGAGAGTCAGAGTGATGAAACAGCAAGATGATATTCTCAGCAATGGTTCTAACATGCTGTCCATCAGCAGATGTGAAGGATAACTCAATGTATAAACTGAGTCATTAGGCACGCTGCTTCACTATACCGACAGTTCAACCATTCAGCAGAAACTACCCTTATCTCCGATATGTTTAGTGTTGTGTAATTGTCAATGCCTCCTAGCATCACCTACCATTAATGCAGGCTTATTGCCAATAACATTTAATGTTATACCATGTTTATGCTATATGAAATGCAGTGTACTGAAATGATAACTTTTTCAGGGTCCTTCTTAGCTCATACCACTGCTACATCCATTTGGTGAAGGTGATTAGACCAATGCAGTTTACATCATGTCACTTTGAAGTAGCATACTTCCTTTACACCTGTATAAATGAGTGCTAAATGAGTGGGGTGCTATTGTATACGAACGCGGCTGGTCACATTTAGTCACCCTTTGCACAGCCCTGATCATCCAGTGTTATGTCGACAACACCCCTAGACCTGCTAATAGTATTCATGTTACCGAGTCTGCCAGTGGGTATTTTTCAGTATGATAATGCCCATCTGTATGCAGTATAAGTTTCTTTCTCCACAGCATGGCAATCCTTCTATGGCTGTCCCAAATGTCCAACATCTTTCTCACTAAACACATTTGGGTCATGGCTAACCAGCAGTTCTAGCCATCGCAAAATGTGTCTGACCTGCTGTGCAATTGCAAAAAATCTGAAAGGAGAGAATCAGATATTTGAATGTTTCCATGCCAGACTGCATTTTTGCATGCATTGACACATGAGATGGCTTTATGCCATATTAATCTGTAACAACATCTTAGCACTTTTCCTCGAATAAATGGTGCGACTGGCATTCCCACTGTTCTCATGTTTTCCTCATAGTCTTCTCCATCTTAACCAGTCTATCATGATCTATCACATTTATCTACGTGAATGGATACCTGGCAGTACTCTTATTAGAAAAATAGTTAATTTGAAGAAAAATAAGCCAATACAGAAAACTAGGTAAAAAAGCAGCATCAGACTGGTATAGATTTTGAATGAAAATCTATTGATTTAAAGAGCAATCAGACATAAATTCCTCTTCTTCAAGATCAAAAACTTTCAGTGAAATTAAATCAATGGTTTCATTTAGCCCTATCTCATAATTTTCACAGGCAACATGAGAGTAAAAAAATTTCATTATCTCACAACTTTCACAGAATGCATTTCCCCTTTTATTTAAAAGCAAATCCTATTTTTTTAAGTGTTTAACTCTTGACAATACATATTCTGGAATATTTGAAACATATTTTAATTGGCAGATAGTTTTAGTTATCTGTGAAATTTTTATTATTTTAGTACTTATTTTTATTAAAGTTTACTAAATAGTTTTGAGAGTACTCCTCTTTTATATTTAACCTTTTCAGGTCAGAGATTTGATGCCTGTAAGATCTTTAAAGAGGTGGGGTTTTTCTTATTTTATGCTTTTTCTCTTTCAAGAAGTCCCTTGCTGTTTACAGCAATGTCTCTTTTAGAGAGTTTGATTCATCCTGAAAGAGGTGCATTTCCTTTACAAGAGGAAGGGAAATGTAGGGATTATTGTCTTAACTACTAGAAGGTTTCCTTATGGAGAAAAATTTAAAGGTGCAGTTGATTTCATATCAGATCACTCTGATACACAGAAGAGAATGCTTATGTCAATTATAGGAAATATCATTCTATTTCTACTTACCATATAACCCCCCTCCCCCTTTAAAAAAAAGCTGAGATTTTTAATTAATGATTTTAATTTATCTTAATCAAATTAAGTTCCTTTATAGAGTGATAACAAAAATTAATTCTATTGTACTTTAAAGTTATATTATAAAATTCCCCATATTTGTTATTTTACAATTTTTTTTTTTTTTAAAATTATCAGGCCTCCATCTCATTAATGCATCTGACACTTTTTTTCATAAATTTCGTACAGTTATTTTCTTATTTGATTTATAGCTTTGTAAGCAAAGAAACATCATGCAAAGGTGGCAGTAAACAAAAATGTTATTTACTGTCATATTTCCTTGTATGTTGAAATTGTTTTATTGTACATTTTATTGAAATTACCTGAATTCTTTAAAATTCTTTCCGTGGAAGGAATGGTTGGAAAAATAAAAAAATTAAGGCTATATAAATGATTAAAAACTGTATGGAAATGTTAAAAAAACTGTGTGAAAACATAATGCTTAAGAGCAAAAGGTGAGAAGAACTTAAAATATGCAGAGTTTAGTTCAAATATGACTCATACTATACATTGTTCACATATTTCAGGCTGTTATATTTTTGTAGCTAAAAGCTTTCAAACCAGAAGGGGGAAATTGTGCAGTGTATATAGTTTATGAAAGACTAGAAAGAAGCTACAAGATAGTTAGTTCTTATCTTCAATACCTAGTATTATGATTTCTGTGTTTTATGATGTTATATAATTTAACATTTCACATACTTTTGTAGAAGTTTTTGTACCTCTTCTATGGTCAGCCTTTTTTTTTTTTTTTTTTTTTTTTTTGTTTTGTTTCGGGCACATTGCTATACAATTAGCAAAATAACTCCAAGAAATCTTACAGATACGTTATACTTCAAAGAAACACAAGACTCTTTTTGATTTACGAATGAGGTTATCTTCGAATTCTTAAGCTGCAAAACTGAAAAGGAAATGATAGGGAAAACTAGATGCTTAAACACAAAGACCTTTGAAAGTATTAGGTGGTTAAGACTCCAGCAAATTTAAACTTGACAGTTCACCCAACTCTTTCAACTTGGAAAATAGGGGGAAAAGACACGACCACTAAAGTGGACATCCCCATCCTTTCAAACAAGGAATACCAAGGCCAATATAATGGTCACCATGACCCAAAAAGGTTCATTTCCTATTTTCAAAATGGCATACAAAACATGATTATAGAGACATTACATATGTTCCTGATGCTATTTTGGATTCTGAAAAATATTTTAGTAATTTTAAAGATAGCAACTGAAAAAAAAAGTTACTTCTTGGATTTCTTTCTAGATGACATGAATCTAAATATTATTCAATATCCATTCAAAATGTAGAGCAGCAAGTGATACAAACAGACATGAAAAATATTCGGCTTTCTCCTGCATCTTTTATTTATTTATTTATTTTTTTTTTGGAAGGGGAAGGGGTAGTCAAGGAGTATTTGGATACGGCTAGTGATGTAAATATTTCAGATTTTTCTGAGCTTTCGATTGATAACTAAACGCTACAAATAACAGTCCGCAAAACAAAACAAAAAAGTGTTGAACAATAAAACAATATCAATAAAATAATTTCCAGAGATAGATCAAAGTGAGAAAAAGTGAACAGAAACAAATGAGAAAGAAGTTACATAATTATTTTCTGTTTGTTACTGCAAGGAATTGTAGATTTTTTTGGAAGACCCTAAAGTTTAAATATATATATATATATATATTCAAACATATAATTTATTTCTTTGATAAA